CGTTTTCAAAGTAGCACCTTGTTGTACATGGAAGTAGGTTCCTCTGAGAGGTGAGCTGTTTTGTTTTCCCCAGTTCATGTGTTTTAACTGTTTTAGACCTAAATGGTGCCCCATTATGCAGCTTGACAACATAATCTTGATATTGTAACTGTTCAAACACATGTGAGGCCTAATTTGGCCTGTGGAATTTTCTCTCTGATGTTGATGAATGAGCAGAAGAAAAACCTGGAGTGAGAATCTGTCTGGCAATTGTTCTGAAAAGCTGACTGGTACACTCCCAGTAGACCTTGTTTACTTAGATAGTGAAGGACTTCCTGTAAAGTAGTTGAATAACAAGTTCCAACATTTCCTGATACTTCAGTGATCGGTCTTTTCACCAACTCTGTGTTTCAGATCTGTTTTGTACTTGTATGTATGCTTTCTGGTGTAACGTTAGAAGGAACTCTTCATTACAGTGTTAGTTTTTAATGCTGGAGCCACTTTAGGCTAGGACTGTTGTAAAGGGAAGTGTATTTTAAGCCTTCTTTCCTTAAATTGGGCTAAAAAATAATTATGAGATTGGTCTTCTGCTCTCACTATCATTTTGTCCAAGTCTTTGATTTCTGTCAGTTTGCTCAGGTATGGAAGTTTGACGTACACCTACATTACTTCTGGGGGGAATTTGAAGCATAATTTCCGCAGCAAGTTTGTCACCTGTCCCCTCCTACCTCTCCTAGGTTTGGAGCCAGTGGTCTGGGATTTCCCTCAGATGAAACTAAGCCATAGGATGCAGTCTCGTTGTGTCTAGCTTGGCTAGTGGGCAAGACTAGACCTGAGTTTGAAGTAATCTCTGGAATGTGTTGTGTGGACATGTTAGTAGGTCTTCAGTCTTGCTCTGAAGGTCTTCTCTTGGTATATCCTGCTACTTGCTCGTGTAAATGTAGCTTCAGAAACCAAGAGGTTTATGAAAAGAGGCATTTAAGACTGTCAGGTGCTCTAGGGTAAGCTAGGTATCAGAAAATCCATGCAGGCAAGAGCTGGTATGCGTGCTCATTTGGAGTTAGGTTTTAGGAAAGGTTAGGTAATCCAGTCAGTCCACAGAAGAGATTTTCTTTGCTTGGAAATTCTTTCAACTTCGTTGTTTCGGAACTGCAGTTCTGCAGTCTGATTCGTTGGGCAGAGAATCAGCATAGGGCAGACATGTTATGAATCTGTGTGTGTTGGAGTTAGTCTATCAACCATCAGGGAAAAAAACTTTTGGGAATGAGGCTTCAGCAGTTCTCATTCTTGTAGAGTTATTTATTTTCCCTTTGTATGAACTCAGTTCTAGACAGAATATGTTTTTGAGCTTAGTGTGACAGATGTTCCTTTAAGAGACTCAAAAGGTCAGTCCTGCCCTCCTGTTACGGTGCAGGCCTGACTTCTAATGCTTTTGATTCTGTAGTCAGCTAGCACTCGGTCCAACCTCTAGCTATTTAATTGTAAAAAGTCATGTCTCTGTGTGATGGTAGCCTGCTGGGAAGTGATTCTTTTCATGCTGTTAGAACTAAACTTCTGGCAATAAGCAATTTTTCAGTACTGGTAATGGCATTTTCATCTCTTGCACCAGTCTAAGGCAGGAATTCCCAGCATATCATGTTCTTGCTTTAATCTTCAGCATAAGGTGAAGATTTCAAGTCCTCCCTGTTAGTCTTGTGCTGTAAATTTGAAGCATTTCTCTTTGTACAGAGTCTTTTAAAAAGTCAACTGCTGATGATGTTTAGTGTAATTCTTGGTCCTTTTTTCCCTCAGATAGCAAATTAGACAATGAGGTCAATGTCAGAAGCTCTGGTCTCGGACTGGGTTGAGGTCTGGAAATCTGAAATGAATGCTTGTAGCACTCCTGGGTACAACCTACTTGAAAAGAGGGAGGGATCTACTGCAAATACAGTTGCATAAAATGGATGTGTAATTCACAAGGGATGTGTAATACGGGGTAGGTAGAGCTCCAGGATTCTTTTAAATTCAATCTCTAGTCAGAAGCATGATGTCTGCAGCTTGCAGCATGGAGAACTTCCAGTGATTTTGGAGTCTGACTTCTTCACCTGTTTGGCTCTGGACTCATTCTCTCTGGGTGTTAGCAATAACAGTGAACTCTAATGCAGTGGCAAGACATCCTGGTTGGAGGGGTTAGGATTTAGTCCTGGGGGAGTGTCGTAGGGCCTCAGGTGATGATGCTCATGTGCTGGAGGTGATGGAAGTTGCCCATGACTTTCAGAGACAGTAGGCTCACTCTCCAGAATGGTTAATGGTTCAAAGCTGTGCCAGGGGAGGTTTGGACTGGACACTAGGAAGCAGTTCTTTACCCAGGGGGTGGTCAGACACTGGAGTAGGCTTCCTGGAGAGGTGGTCCATGCCCCAAGCCTGTCAGTGTTTAAGAGGCATTTGGACAGTGCCCTCAAATAACATCCTTTAGCTTGTGGTCAGGCAGTTGGACTAGATGATCACTGTAGGTCCCTTCTGACTGAACTATTCTGTGCTATAAAAGCAGAAGAAAGAAAATGCTGTTTTGTCAGGTCTGTTCTTAGACTGTGCCTTTCTTGCTGAAAATGCCTCTTGCTTAAACCTATTCCATTGCCTTGCTACCTGCACTTATGTGATAAAATTGTTTCAGTGCAGGAGTGGACTTTCAATTCTTACGGCTAGAAAAAAAAGTGTAGTCTTTACTTTGTATAAGTTACAGAAGTAACAGGAACTGTAATGTAAAATTTTATATGGAAAGAAGGTGGGGGTACTTTTAAGGTGTTCTCAGCCTGTGGAGATTCTGAAGACACACTGCAGAAGTACAGGATATCCCAGCAGATAAAGCAAATGCTTCTTGTATGAAACTGAAAATGTGTCAGTGCAGTAATGCATCTTAGTTTGTCCAGTTTGGGCCTTGGCCTTGCAGATAATCTTTTGACCAAGGGCTTAAATTAATGCTAAGGACTATATGAGTGGGTTTTAAAGCCAAATAATTTGGAGAATACTTGCCTTAGAGGTGTAATTGAGACTGGCTTTCTTAAACTGAACTCTTACCTGGGAGCTGTGCTTGTGCCTGTTTGCGCAAGGCAGTGCTCATGCTGTAGGGTAGTACGATAAGAGTATCAGATAGAACTGAAGAAGCATCCCATAGGTGGGTGACTTCATCTTTTTCAATTAGCTGCCTGACAGATCACTCATTGATGCAGCTTTTTAAACTGTCATGCCGACACAAGGTCATATGTTTCTTGTTACCTTGCAGGAAATTATTATGGAAAGGCTACGTCATCTGGATAGTGCATACAGCTCCTGGCAGGAACCTGTAAAATTCCCTGTTCTTCCTGGAAATAGAATTAGTTCTTAACAGGAGGTGACTTATAAAACTGATCTGCAGGTGGTGCATTTTGCTCCCCTACCTTTTGCCGTAGAAACTCTTAATTGGCTGCGAATGAGTCCCTCACATTTTTTCAGACTTCTTAGAGGTGGTGTTGGGAAGTGAGCTGTTGTGTATCTGCACAATGCAGACCCGTGTGGTAGTTCTTTCTGGTACTGTCATGCTGGCTAGTGTGGCATCTCTGCAAATGCTGCGCTAGCTTGACTGACTCTAGAAAGTGAGGTAGGAAGGGGTGAGAGAACGTGTGTGGGAAGACGTAGTTTTGCAACCAAATAAATTTGTGTTGGCTTCAAACTTCGTATGGCCCTCATAAGAGCCATTACTAAAGCTCCACATCTCTCCGTTGGATTTGAAAGGAGAGGTTGAATAATTAATTCCCTCCCTTAAGATACGGTGTTAAGGAAGCCTGGAGAAGCAGATGACCATAGGAACCTGGGATATCAGCTCTAGGACACGGCAAATACCACAAAGTGGGTGTGTAAATGTGGGGGACAAAGCGGTGAGGTGTCTGGAGGGGAGGGGAGGAGAGCAGAGCTCATTTGGTGCCCTGGGGGTGAAGGTACCACCTGGGTTGGGTCCGAGGCCTGGAATGTGAAGTTGTTGAGAACTTTGTGTTGGGGGCTACCTCTGACTCCTTGCTTTAAGCCTGTGATCGACCTTCGATAAATGAATGTTGATGTGAGAGGGTGTGATTTATTTCTTATTTTTTCTCTGAAATAAAAGGAATTGTGTTGGAATCCAAGTCTTAACATATTTGTCCATGTTATTCAGCATTGTGTAAGTGCATGAGCTAGAAAATACAACTGAGTAGTTTGGACAATAAATTGAATTAAATGGAACAAGTAAATAACAAAAAAAGAATTGGTTTTAATTATCGCTGCCAAAGAAATACTTCTGAAGTTTGAAAAACAAACGCTACAGTGCTGCCCCTTAGCACATAAGAAAGATTCAGGTTGGACTTGCCCCTTTCTGTGTTGACACCTGCTTGTGTGGTGTTACTATCAGCAGTTGGTTTCAAAATAATATTTCGTGCTTTATGTGGAAAGAGCCAAGTGCTGGTTTCAACTTACCCATATTTCTTACTGCATGTCACTGGGAAGTGATCCTGCGGCCATTTGAGGGACCGGGGTTGAAAGCAGTGAAAAAATCTTTAGAGCATAGTAAGAGTAATGCCAGCTCCTGCATTTTGTAGCAAGATAACTTAATAGCGGAATTGTAATGTGCATGACCTCAACGCCTTGTTGTTGCAAAGCGTATGCTGAAATCACATCCTAGCAATGCAAATAGCTCTGAAGACTCTCTTGGCTTCAAAGGATGCAGTCTGTTGGCTTGAGACCACGGAGCTTTGAGGACGGAGATGCAGCTCGTCTGCTGTTCTGTCTGTGCTGAGAGTGTGGTCATGTGCAGTGCTGAGCAAATGCATCATCTCCCATATCGCTGTCATCAGCCAGGCACTTCTAGAGTAACCTGCTTTCATTTTCCTGAGGCCCTTACTAATGGATTAATAAATGGAATCATAAAATACGTGTATCATCGACCTCTAATGATGGACCATCTCTCTTGGTTGCCCCCCTGTTGAATCCCTGATGCTCGCTGATGTCTAACTCCTGAATTGCTGTCGTTGCAGGTTCAGGTCCAGGTCCAGCAGTCACCGCAGCAGGTCTCCGCCCAGCAGCTCTCCCCACAGCTCGCTGTCCATCAGGCTTCGGAGCAACCGATACAGGTCCAAGTGCAGATCCAAGGCCAGGCGCAGCAGCAGGCATCCCAGACCATACAGAGTCAGTCTCTTCAGAGCCCCAGCCCATCGCAGCTGCAGGCAGCTCAGATCCAAGTGCAGCATGTGCAGACTGCCCAGCAGATCCAGGCTGCGGAGATACAGGAGGAACACATACAACACCAGCAGATCCAGGCCCAGCTGGTGGCAGGACAGGCCATTACTGGTGGCCAGCAGATACAGATCCAAACAGTTGGGGCACTGTCACCTCCACCTTCTCAACAAGGCTCTCCACGAGAGGGAGAGCGGCGGATCAGCACCGCTAGTGTCCTTCAGCCCGTGAAGAAACGCAAAGTGGATATGCCTATTACTGTATCGTATGCTATTTCAGGGCAGCCTGTTGCCACAGTGCTGGCCATTCCTCAGGGCCAGCAGCAAAGTTACGTCTCTTTAAGGCCAGACTTGTTAACAGTGGACAGTGCCCACCTGTACAGTGCCACTGGGACCATTACTAGCCCCACTGGAGAGACTTGGACCATCCCTGTTTACTCTGCTCAGCCACGTGGTGACCTTCAGCAGCAAAACATCACCCACATTGCCATCCCTCAGGAGGCCTACAATGCCGTCCACGTCAGCGGCTCGCCAACGACACTGACTACCGTGAAGCTGGAAGACGACAAGGATAAGATGGTGGGAAGTACTTCAGTGGTGAAGAATTCTCATGAGGAAGTGGTGCAGACTCTTGCTAATTCGCTCTTTCCAGCACAGTTTATGAATGGCAACATCCACATTCCAGTGGCAGTGCAGGCTGTGGCAGGGACGTACCAGAATACAGCACAGACAGTGCACATATGGGACCCGCAGCAGCAACCGCAGCAGCCCACACCCCAAGAGCAGGGGCAGCAGCAGCAGCTACAAGTCACTTGCTCGGTAAGTTAAAACTGGTTCTTGGTGTCAGTCTGTGATTAACAACCTGCAGATGTTGTGGAGAGGGATGATGTCAGCAGACAGCTGTCTAGGGGGCAGAGGTGCATCTGTCTCAGCAGCCTGGCCGTGAGGTAGAGCATTTGACTCCCGATAGGTGTAGAACGACGATGTGTTCATACTAGCCGCCTAGTTATCGGTTTGTGTCATGCAGGACACAGAGTCCACAGCAGAGCCAGTGCCTGGGTGAAGTGTTGAAACCGGACTGGTTGTAGCAAACCTCACAGCTCAGGTGTACCCGTCTGTAACACCGTGTCCTGCTTCTGGGAAATGCCCGGTGCGCGCGGCTGCAGTAATGAGCAGTGGCAAGTGAGCGTCTCTTCCTAGTGCTTGCAAACCTGGCAGCCAAATCTGGTGCTGTTTTTTAAAGGCTTTCTTGCTAACTTTAAGGCATAGATTATTTTGAATTTGCTTCTAAAACTTGAATAATTAGGGCTATTAATGGCCTCTCTTATATGTGCAAATGGATGTAATTTATCTTTTATTACCAGAAAGTGAAAGGTAATTGATCTTTCAGAGCCTGTTTTTGCTGAATGGAATGAGGGCAAAAATATCCAAGTCTGCTAGCATAATGTTGTTATAAATTCTTTCCAGTTTATAAATAACACTGTTGGCTTTATAAAGGCATATATGCCCTCTGCTTCATCAGTCGGCACTGAGACAAGGAGGATTACTCTCTGTAGTCATATCTCATTGTTTCTGAGTTGATTGTGGGCTAGAGCCCACCCAGGTCTTCACTGAAAAGGGCTCCCTACATCTCTAGATAATTTTCCAGTGCTGGATGCCCTCCTTTATAAAGGTGTACTTTATGCTATAGGTTATGGGTCTCTTAACACATGGGGTTTTGTTTGGTTGGGATTTTTTTGCTTTGTCATGTTCAAAGAGCCTTCTGTAGCCCATCTTTTCCCTCTTCAGAGATCACTTCATTGCTATCAGCTACTTGAACTAACTAAATTGTTAAAACTTCTCGCATTTTTGCTAAACAGAATTTTTAGACTTATTCTAGGGTCTTTTAAGAGCATGAGCCACATTCTTGGGATCCTTTCCTGAGGTATTAACTCCATAATTTCTTTAATGGTTACTTGTAAACCTTCTACTAATGCCATGTATTCTTGAGCACAGTCATCTGCAATTCCTGGGTATCAGACTGTTTTCTAATACTAATTCTCTGCAGTACTGGGTGTTGCCTAAGCCCCTAAACGCAGACGCAAGTCCAGAAGGTACACTAATAAAGCCACTATAGGTGAACATCAGACTTTTGGGGGTTGTCCGTCTCTCAACTGTGAGACTGAGAAGGAATTTGCCTGCTTGCCCCATGCTGTTTTCTGGCATTGTGCTGCTGTTTTGTTCTATTCATTAAACATATAAGCCAGTTAAGAAGCAAGTGCCAGGTCAGCCTGTGTACCTGCCTTCCTGCTGGACAAGGGGGCTGCAAGGGCAGCGCAGAAGATTGATGCTTAGGTTGAGCTAATGGCTGTGTTTGGCTCTGAAAAGCTTTCTGCTCTCTGGGGTGGAATGGGGCAGTGCTCTGGAGGAGAGCGGAGGCTCAATCGCAGCTCCTGCAAAAAAAGACAAGGTGTCAGTTCACCCTTGGACTCCTGTCCTCCCTGAGACAGTTTTGCTTGACAACTTAAACTTTGTCACCATCTGCCGTGATAAACGCTGGGCCCTTTCAGTCCCAGTCTCACTCTGCAGCTGTGGTAGATGCTGCACGTGATGCAGGGGCTGATAAGCAAAGAGCTGTTAAGAGCTGATGCAAGAAAATAAAAACCAGCCAGAGGCAGTCAGAAGGCTCCCCTCTGAGGCTCTTGCAGGCTTTGCCCCTTCAGCTGTTTTTTTT